AAATAAAAAATGGTGCGCATGCAACTTGATGCACGTAAAAGAAGTGAAACTTCTTTTGCGGTGTGTATTATTGCAGTTTTCTTCATTTTTCATCCTTAAATCAGATTTCTCTTGTTATAGGAAGTGCTGTGTTTAAGAGAAACGACCTAGGTCGCTTTGTTATTTCCCTCTCTCCACGGTCGAGTGACACTCTGTCTATTTTCTCACTCTCGCTTTTCCTGAATTGTATCTTTTCTCTCTAGCCGTAACGAATCTGTCGCGAGTTAAATTTTACTCTCAACGCGCCTAAAGAAGTTTCACTTCAAAAATGATTCTGATATAAAGCGTACACATTGTCCGTCATTTCAAACGGACTCTGTGATGAAATATTTAATTATTTATTTATGTATTTACAAACGATTTGTACTACCAAAAAATAACATTACGGAATAAAAGTGAACACTGATAAATTTTGTTTAGATTGATGGTCGTAAGACTGTGTACCCACTCTGGGAAGTACCTCAATAGCATATCTATTTCTACCTGCGAATCAGTCGTGCTTACGAATATGAAGCTTTACGTACATAGCTTTAAACGCGTTTATTAGCTATCAGAATTGCAAAAAGCTTGTATTGTATACCAATAATGTGCATACACAGACGATCTTACGATCTCCTACATAGTCACTGGAAACCATTGACGCTGTGAATGACACAGCCCATTTACTGCTGTAAGATTGGAATATAAAAAAATTATTGCTTAGATGGGTGGACGAGCTCACAGCCCACCTGTGGAGCCCATAGACATCCACAATGTAAATGCGCCACCCATTTTGAGATATAAGTTCTAAGATCTCGAGTATAGTTACAACGGCTGCCCCACCCTTCAAACCGAAACGCATTACTGCTTCACGGCAGAAATAGGCAGGGTGGTGGTACCCACCCGCGCGGACTCACAAGATGTCTTACCACCAGTAATTACGCAAATTATAATTTTGCGGGTTTCATTTTTTATTACACGATGTTATTCCTTCACCGTGGAAGTCAATCGTGAACAATTGTTAAGTACGTATTTCATTAGACAAATTGGTACCCGCCTGAGATTCGAACACTGGAGCATCACTCAACACGAATGCACCGGACGTCTTATCCATTAGGCCACGACGGCTTCATAAAACTTCTCTTTCACTGACGTCTTGTGCATATTCCCTTATTCGGTTCTTACGACTCCCTGGGATAGTATAGGTGTGGTGACATATTGTATTTTCGTACTCCGATGGAACAGAAAGATTCTCGAGTGTAGTGACCATGTAGTATCAAGCGCAGTGTGAGACAGTCACCTATCAGATGGATTTAGTGAACATTTCTGGGTCACGTTGGATGCAGGTGACAACGGACCAGCCGCATTGGACATCAATTAGAGAGGTCTATGTTTAGCAGTGGACAGCGGACAGGCTGAGATGAAAGGCTATTTCAGCTTAACCTTAACTAGTAGGTGAGCTCACGGGGCTCAAACCGGAGTGATGCTAAACACTGACCCTAGCAAGAGCAGTGCTTCACAGAATCTACCACCGGATCGGAAACGCGACCCACTGGGAAGATCCGTCGAGAAACTTAGTGGACAAGATGATGAACAGAAGGGATAACTCTTTTAGAATACTACTAGAACTCCTTTATACCTCTTGTCTCAAGCTGAAGTAGGATATCTTTACCATTTAACACCACAAGCGCTCTGAATTCGTTTATCATTCAAAATACAATCTAAAACAGTTCTTAATCAACAAGAAACCGAATATCAATTCCGATCGAGATTTACCGCGTTTTTAGTACAAGGTACAAAAGTCAGCCATTTTAGGCAATCAACCGGTTTTTATAACTTGTATCATTAAGTTAGACAATGAAATTAATGGTCATCGAAAAGGTATTTTTTCACGTAAACACAAGCGTTTTGGTGTGTAAATCTATTTTGTTACATTTGTTAATGTTTTAAATATTAACAAATAAGTTTATTAACCGAACTATTCTTTATTCAAATCTGTATTTTACTAATACATTCCAAAGTTTTTTTTTGGCTATTTAAAACAAAACGTGTTTTTTAATAATGTGATTTATCAACTAGGATATAAAATAGAATTTCATTTACTCAAGGATACAATTAATATTCTAATAATTATGTTTAATAAGTTTTGATAATAAGTTTAATAAAATTACTTAATGCATAAAATAACTCACTCTGGTTAAATATGGCTATACAAGATCACAGAGCACATTAATTCACAATACACTACTGGCCACTAAGAAAAAAAAACACTTCGGATTTCGTAATTTTCCAACGAGATTCTTATTTGTTTTTTTTTATTTGTAATACGAAAACCGCGCGTCGATCACTGCGGTTCAAATAACACTGAACTTGAATGCTCGCGCGCAATCTTGCTTGCCTTCGTTAATAAACAACCTAAATTCTACTTTACCGCTATCGACATAAGAACTATACAGATCGGGTTATGTTACGACGCTTAAGCGTTTTGTAACTTACAAAATTCTACCTTATTTCGTAAAACATAAGAACGCAAAGGTCGGTCTCGAGAGCTATTAAGAATTAATGTACAGGATTTTCCACAAAACCTAGTATTCTCGAACAAGAAATAATGCGTCACGTAATTTATGAACAAGATGTGGACGTAATTAGGCCTTTCTACGATCGATAAATTATTTTTCGTCATCAAATAAGCTCGTACGTAATGATTTCGTATTTATTAATGAAAGAACATGAAAATAATATTTCTAACTAAATGAGTACATATTTCTATGAGGGATCGAGATTTCGACACATCTCGAAATCATGCAGATTTCGATTAGTGTGACTTTTATAACGTTCTTGATAGCGTAAAAGTCAGCTCATATTTGTATGGGATGGAATCGTTTGCCTACGACAGCCCACTGAATTTCTCGCCGGATCTTCTCAGTGGGTCGCGTTTCCGATCCGGTGGTAGATTCTGCGAAGCACTGCCCTTGCTAGGGTTAGTGTTAGCAACGTCGTCAGGTTTGAGCCCCGTGAGCTCACCTACTTGTTAAAGTACGCTGACATCTATCAGCTCTCAAAGCTATCAGCTTATGTACGAAAAAAAAATTTTTCCCTTATTCGTCGTTATTCCCAAAGATAAGTGATTACGTGAATCTTTCCATTCAATTTGAGAGATGAGGTCGTAGTCTCAATTGAGGTGCATGATCATTGTCCCTATCGTCAAACTGGAATACGTGATTGCAATGTGACAGAAATAGGCACAGATCGTGGTACTTCCCTGTTCGGGCTTATAATATGCCAATAATTATATACCCAAACATGCTAGGGTCAGTGTTAGTTTGCCGTAGCTATAGGGGCGCTGTTCCAACTGCATACAAATTTTAGTAACTTTTACGCTATCGAGAACGTTTAAAAACTCGCACTAAACACACAGATGCGCAGTCAACTTGATCTTAGACTTCTACTTTTAGAACACGTGTTCTTTTGTGTTTTATTTTTTTAATATTTAACATCAAACTAACAATATTATCACGAATATATCGGTCTCATAAATCACGTTAACAAACATAGCCCGAACAGAGTTCAGCGTGCTTAGTTCGAGTTTTTTAACTTCCCTTCGTTTGCCGCTAGGGATGCTGTTCCAACTGCATACAAAGGACAATGCCCAAAAGTGGGCCAACTTCATAACAAAACTATTTGTACTTGAAAAACTATGCCTTATTTTTTCATGTTGTTTAGTTTATGTATCAACATTTCTTTCACCCTGGCATTGTTTTGTAAATAAATAAATTACTTATTTGATAACATCCCAAAACTGAGTGCCATAGTTTTTAAATTCGCCAATAGACAAAGGGAAAATTAGCCCATACCGCCTTATAGTAAACCTATATGCTGACAAACGAAAGAGTTGTCTGTGACTTGAACAACAAATAAAAAAAATAGCTAATGGTTATAATTCACAGACTTTTTAGTTTATTGTTGTTCAATTCAATATTTATGTATTGTTACCGAGTCCTGGCAACCCCCGACCGAGAGCCAGCGCTAAAACTATAAAAGCGATCCCTTGCTGCGCCTTTGCCTCTCTCCCGACTAGGCGCGTCAACACCCCCGCCCCCGCCGTTCGCCCAATCACGATGTACGACCAGCCCATACCGTGGGCCCCGAAGGTCAAATATTTAGGCGTCACCCTCGACAGTAGGATGACATTCCGCCCCCACATCAAGACGGTACGCGATCGTGCCGCCTTCATCCTAGGACGTCTCTACCCGATGATATGTAGGCGAAGTAAAATGTCCCTTAGAAATAAGGTGACACTCTACAAAACTTGCATACGCCCCGTCATGACCTATGCAAGTGTAGTGTTCGCNCCGGTGCTTGAAGTACCTAAAAGCACCGTTAGTGGATCGGGAGGATCCGAGATGACGTGTTTTGGGCGACGTCGACTGCTTTCCATTCTGTCCGCAGGATCGGGAATGTAGTTACCGGCGGCCACGATGAGAGGGTTCTCGTGTCGTGCCGCTTTATCGAAGTGGCGCATCGACGCCGACTGAAGATACTTACTGATGGACTCTAAGTCCAAGTCGTCATGGATGTCGACGTTCCTGACGAACCACGGGGCTCCGACGGCTATCCTGCAAAAACGGGATTGAATAATTTGGAAGGATTTTAAGTGAGTGCGGGCCGCGTGAGCGAACACTACACTTGCATAGGTCATGACGGGGCGTATGCAAGTTTTGTAGAGTGTCACTTTATTTCTAAGGGAATATGGCCCACTGAAAGGTGAACCAATATGGTGAATATATGACTGAGGAAATATGATGAATGGTCACCACTACTTATGGATATCCATTATGATATAGAGATACCATCAATGTCAAAGACACAGACAAGATACTGCCTATTGTTGAAGAATCTTAAACTGAATGTGATCACTTATGATCAGGAGACTTATAAAGTGAATGAAACATAATGGTTTATTTAAAATAATACACTAAAACTATACAAATCTGTTTAATTTGTTTTAATTATGTCATTATCTTGAAGTAAAAAAGCTTCAAGTAGCGTTTTTTCAATTAAAACTCTTGAGTACCCCAACGTATCTGTAAAATAAAGATCAAAAATTTTATTTTTCAACACTTTAATAGGAACAGCAATATGTAGTTGTATTATAACTGTTCCCGAAGCTGAAAGTGGAATAAATGATAAACCTTAAATTAATTACTAAGCATACACACACTTAGTAAGATTATAATATATTTTATCATATTCATAAGTAAGTACAAATATAGTGAAGCCACAACGTAAGGCAAAATTGTAAGTGCCCACATGTTTTCTCATCCCACATCAATGAATGCAATAAAAACAGCAATAATATTTATTTATTGCGTGATTAATTGAAACCTTATATACTATGTACTACCTATTGATATTATTTTTCGCGAATGGCTTTTTTTAATTTTAATTAGTGCTTTTAACATATTCAAATATGAGAATGAGGTCACGGCTCACCTAGCGTTGAGTGGTTACTGGCGACCCATAGGTATCAACATGTGAAGATCTCCACCCACCATAAAACAGAGATTTGAATCTGAATTGTATAGTACTAGTGCTGTCCCACCAATTAATCTGAAGAGCATGACTGCTTCACGGTAAAAATAGACACCGCATTGGAGAGGCGTATTTTATGCTTGCACGGATAAATACCACCATAGGGCATAAGGTTCCAATGCATCAGGAATATTTGAATTATAACATTATTTTTTTTACTCACATCTTGATTGCGTGCTTTATGTTTCCTTTCCACTAATGAAGTCAGAGCTTCGGACCTCACTGCCAGTGAATCGATTCTCTCAACTAATTGTTGATATGGCGAAAGAGGTTGTGCACCCATCACCACGTGACCTAACTTGGAATCGATCTTCGCGTCCAGGCGCGCATTACGGATTAAGTTCACGATCCAGCATTCCGCTTCATCAGGCTGCATGTTTAAGTTCTCGGCTAACATTCTGTAAAAAAATTTAACCTTTCTCTCATCACATTGATACATTATATCAAAATAATTTTCAGCCCACAGCCGTCCACCGTCGGACATACTACCCTGTCAAGAAAGTACCAGGAAAAGATCTAAAATACACAAAATGTTAATTATTCGTCCAAATTTATTGTATCATCTTCAAAGTATGCTCTTTTAGAAACGATACACTTACGCCAACGTATAATCTAATCATAAAAATATTTGAGTTTAGGAAAAATAAAGTGCTAGGCCATATCTGGTGGATAAGGTGGTTGCTTCAAGCATTTGTTGAGTTTTTGGTCAAAATTTCGTTCACAATGATGGCCTTATCCGAAGGCGCAGTATTGTGATGCAAAATCCAAGAATTTTCTTTCCCCAAATCTTACATCTGGGTACGGATCGACTTGTGAGACACAAAGTTTGGCGGCTATCTCTCTCATACTTAAATGAGGATTCTCTGGTCATTTTTTCCTTCACTTTTGCGATGTTAACTTCAATTGTAGACGTTGCTGGTCTACCCAAGCGAGTCAAATCTTCCATCACATCTCCACCGATTTTGAACAATTTTTATCATTCTTATGCACGCGTTTTGGACAAAGTTGATTTACCATAAGCTTTCGGGAGGTAACTCTTCGTCGTAATAGAAAAGTCCGACGAGGACGGTGACCGGTGCTTGAGGGTTCTTAAAGCACCGAGAATGAATCCGGGGGATCCGACAAGACATGTTTCGGGCGATGGCGGTTTTGCGTTGCTCTGTCGCGGTCCGATAAAGAATTAGGGACGGCCACGATAAAAGGATTTTCGTGGCGCGCCATTTGTAGAAGTAGCGTTCAGTTTGGAACCAAATACAATTCCCGATACTTTTTTGACTGAATGTAGGCCTTTTCCAATTTACGTAATTACAATTCCAATTTATTTACCTCAATGAAATTGCAAATATACACCTAACTTATTAATATTGAGCTTCAGTGCTTGTAATATAAAAATAGAACCACTTTTATTTCCACGTGCACATGACACCAACTGCATCTAAATATGAATGTGTCAGTGATTATGGTCATATCTTAATCAGTGTGCGAACACTAGTTAGTGTACATAAAAACATCAACAGAGTAAACGTTCACACTTACCCAATACTAATGACTTGATGAATACGGCAGAAAGTTTCAAAGATCATCAGTCGAGCATTTTCGACAAACTCTTCCAAACAGGCGATTAAGAAAAAGTCAGTCAAAAGTACAGCTTGGCATTGATTCAGTTTTCGACGGGCCGCTTCGAAATCAAAATTAACGTACAGATGTTCAATGAACTCTGTGATAGGATCTCTGAAAGATAATATATATTTTTTATTTCGTATTTGCGATAAACAAAAACGTAAAGAAATGTCATCATATATCTTAAAAAAATTTTTAAAGCACCTATAGGTGTAAGCTTCTTGTTGAATAACTTTCACAAGGTCCTTCAAGGCGTTTCTGCGAGACCTGTTTATGATTACTGCAGTAGCCAAGTAGCGGAGGATGTGGGGACACATCGTCTGGATGGCGTTCAAGTACCTGTAATACGATAATACATATTATGGTACCTTTTAAAATAATATAACTGATTCGGTTGGGGTCGCGGATTATTTCAGTACCTCAGGTCCCGGTTAGATTTTCCGTTTGAGTTAATGTCTCTTGAGCAATTGGATCGCCTTTGGTTTCATTACCACTCGGGCTTTGGAATGTAGAATCTATACTAATATGATAAAGCTGAAGAGTTTGTTTGTTTGAACACGCTAATCTCAGGAACTACTGGTCCGATTTGAAAAATTATTTTAGTATTAGATAGTCCATTTTTTGAGGAAGGCTAGGCTATTTAACATCACACTAAGACCAATACAAGCGGAGCACTAATAAAAAACGTTTCAAAATCGGGGTTTTTTCCCTTTTGAGAGCTTCCGCTGCGTGCGCTGCACAAATGGTTAAAGTTTCGCTAAAATAATGTATGACAGAATTGTTGAATTTATGTTAAGGTTGGCTCACTATAGCGTTTTTTATGCTAACCAAATTTGTTTTAAAATTAAGCATTATTTGTGAACTATTCCACGCAGACGAAGTCGCGGGCAAAAGCTAGTATACATATAACTAAGTTAATGTAACAACATATTTTTAATTGATAATTATTCTTTTCATTGCCTATTATGTTGCCATATTAGAGACTCGAAATTTTTCATAAAATCTGAAGATAAACATTCCAAAATGTAAAACTTACAAAGGCTTATACAGGAACATTTCGATGATCAAATCACGTCCTTTGACATGATTGAAGAACACGAATAGCGACCAGTGAACCAGCCAGGTCCGTTGCTGTAGGGCTTGCATGTTGCTGGCAGTGGAACCGGCTCCACCGTTATCGATGAACTCTCGAAGTTTGGTTAGATCATCGAGCGCGCCATCCCAATTTTGTACCAAAATTTCGCTAGCCAATTTACCCCAAAGAACCGACAAATAATTCTGAAAACAATATATTCGTTGTTTACCTTTTTAATTATTATTTATGATAGATTCTCTTTGGTGTCTACAATGTTGTTCTTTCTCAATGACATAATGTACTTAAAGGTGACATTTGAAATTAAATGCAAGTTTATATCGAAATGCCATCTACAAAGTTAATAATACGAAAACACGAAGAATCGAAAAACTGTAAAAGTTTGCAAATTTTAATAGACGATGACGAACATTCAGCAAATGTGCATTTTGGAAAATGGGCGGATGGGACAATTGATACTAACAAGAGTACCAAATCACCATGTCTTATTGTGAAGATAGTTTCCACCTTTGAATCAGATCTACTTAATTTAGAATCTAGTGCTAAACTGCTAGAACCCGATAAAGTGAACGAATATTTAGACACTAACACTGATTGCCGCTTGAATAATAACAATCGAATCATACATCAAAATGATAGTAATGAATTTACTGAAAAACATATCAATAACGTTCCCAAAGATTACATCAACCCCTTACAGTACAGTCTTGATAGAGTCAATGAGAATAATGCCCGAATTATGGAAAATATTAAAATATTAAATAGAACATTGGATTTGACTAAAAGTCAAGAGATTTTAGATACAATATACACGAGATCTTTGAGACATCCTTACTACCGTGGGTCAAATTATATCCACGAAGCAGGAATAAAAAAACATTTTAACTGCCAGCATTTAACAACAGAATGCAAGACACAACAGCGTTGGCAAATCGTTTGGACTTGCATTCAATGTTTTCAAGTATGGCCTCGTCGAGATCAAGCAATTGAACATCCTGGTGATAGTTGTAATCCAAAAGATATTGAGGGCATTCGAGAAATTAAAACCTCGTCACTATTACAATGCGAGTTTTGCGAAAAAGTATTTACAAGTATTCCAAGACTTTTGACTCATAGCAAATTGCACTCTGTCGTAAACAATTACGAATGCACTACTTGTAGTTTAACATTTAAATCATATAAAACTAACGAGCAACATTGGCTGGTGTGCCCGTGGTTGAAAATATACAGTTTTGAATTGCCTAAATTTTTGTTGTGCAACATTTGCGACCGTAAATTCAAGAATTACGATCAACTCTACAATCACAGGTGAAATTCTCTTCGCATTTTTCTTATCTTATAGGTGCCTTCAATTCGATTTCCATTCAAGGCAGATATCATACAATGGTAATGGTCCAATGGTAAGTGCTTACTGTCGCTCGTACACCTTTGCCTACTGTTAAGGGCTCTTTTCAAAACTCATCTGACGTATTTTATATCATCATGGATATAAAATTTCAAAAAAAACCACGGAAGCGAATTCTTTCTAGAAATGGATTTACAAGGCAAGCTCTTGAAACGCAGTGGTAGTGGCAGTTACATAGTGGTAGTGGTAGTAGGAGTGTACTCTACTTCAGAAATAGTACTGATGACTGACATCTGCTGCATATAAAGTATGGTATAGATCACAGGGGGAACCAACCTCTATTCGAAGAAAAGAAGTCAACAAACACTGAACGCTTCTCTCTTCTCTTATGAAGCCAAAGAAAAATAGTACATACGGATCAAAGTTGGGTTGTGGTAGGCTACGCGAGGTCGAACCTGTGCTTTATTTAGGTGCTTAAGTTTTTATTAAGGAATGAATTACAGCTTTATTCTAGTAAGGAATCATAAACAAGAATGGACACTCTGTCGTTAGTTTGGGTTTGATTTACGGAGATTTACTTTTTTTTATTTTCTTTCTTTTATTGCTTAGATGGGTGGACGAGCTCACAGCCCACCTGGTGTTAAGGGGTTACTGGAGCTCATAGACATCTACATACACCTTGAGATATAAGTTCTAAGGTCTCAGTATAGTTACAACGGCTGCCCCACCCTTCAAACCGAAACGCATTACTGCTTCACGGCAGAAATAGGTAGCGCGGTGGTACCTACTCGTGCGGATTCACAAGAGGTCCTACCACCAGAAGACTTACTACTTAAAGCTTGTAAGCATCACACACTAAGATTATGTGCATGAAATAAGATGGAACTCTGTAATTAAATTAATAAAATATTTGCAGATATAAAGCTGAACATTTCATGCTGAAAATCATTCAAGATATTAAAACCGATGAGCCAATGATAAAAGCGTCTATCAGTATTTTAGCTCATCAATGTGAGCTATGTGGTCTTTGGTATAACGCCCTTTCAGAAGTAAAAGCCCACAGAACACAAGTTCACCAACAGTTTGATGCTATAGTTTANTAATTAAATTAATAAAATATTTGCAGATATAAAGCTGAACATTTCATGCTGAAAATCATTCAAGATATTAAAACCGATGAGCCAATGATAAAAGCGTCTATCAGTATTTTAGCTCATCAATGTGAGCTATGTGGTCTTTGGTATAACGCCCTTTCAGAAGTAAAAGCCCACAGAACACAAGTTCACCAACAGTTTGATGCTATAGTTTATTAATATGCAATTTCCCTAAATGCTAGTTGTTACTTGCAATAAATTGTATTTTTTTTACTTACAAATAGATGTAGTATTTAACATTCTTATTAATTAATACAAGAAATAAGAACTGAAATATATTAATTTACAACTTCATAAAGCTTTAAAATTAAAAATGTTACATTTTATCTTTTTTTCATAGATGGGTGCACAATCTCATTGCCTACCTGCTCTATTGATACTGGATACTATAGATATCACAATGTTCATATTATATAATGTCTACATAATAATATATTCCTAACCTATCTAATACATGAAGTTGAATTTTTTTTTTTTTATTGCTTAGATGTGTGGACCAGCTCACAGCCAACCTGGTGTTAAGTGGTTACTGGAGCCCATAGACATCTACAACGTAAATGCGCCACACACCTTGAGATATAGTTCTAAGGTCTCAGTATAGTCACAACGGCTGCCCCACCCTTCAAACCGAAACGTATTACTGCTTCACGGCAGAAATAGGCAGGGTGGTGGTACCTACCCGTGCGGACTCAAAACAGGTCCTACCACCAGTACCCAACTGTATTGTAGAATAGCTGTCCCAACCTTCAAAACTTAATAACAGGTTCATGATAGAAGTAGCCAAAACGGTGATAACTAGGCATGAGGATTTCCAATACCCCCTATTATCAGCATATGCTCGTAGGCTATATCAGTACACTATAATAATATGCTGAGTACTGCTGCCCATTCTCTGGCGAATCTCGCGTGACTCCAGGGGAAAAGCTGGTGCTATACCACACAGAGAGTAAGTCGCTTTTATACATTGCTGTCTATACATAGTTTGATAATTTTATTTTACAAGTCTATTTAAATATCATAACAATGGCTTAATTTCATAATACATAGGTATTTGATAATTGATAATTAAATATATTATGACATATTACGTTTTTACTGTTCCTTACCTTGTCAGTCGGCGACATCACCAGTTGACAAAAGTAAAGATATGACGCTGACTCCACATAATTTCCACATTCATAGCGATATTTGGCCAAACGATACATGCTATCGATCATTTCAATTTTAAACTGGAATAGAAATTGATATTAGTCAAACCACATTCTTTTATTTTTAGTTTTATTTAAGGATTTATATTTATAAATTGAATATCTTGCTGATAGACATATTTCATATATCTACTATATACTAAATATGTTTACTAAGACCAAACAATTTTAGGTTTCTTTTTTCTTTTCTTAGATTGGTGGACGAGCTCACAGCGCACCTGGTGTTAAGTGATTACTGGAGCCCATAGACATCCACAACGTAAATGCACCACCCACCTTGAGATATAAGTTCTAAGGTCTCAAGTATAGTTACATACATTCTACTGCTGTATTTAAAAAATCTATCATTAAATTTTATTAAGTTAACCAAAGTAATATACCACTTAAAACTTCTGATCTGAAGATAAAATTCTGTAAGCTGACATCATAAGCTAAGGCAGGTAGAGGATGTATATCTGTTTTCTTTAAAGTGTACATATATCTAATCTATATGATATTAATAATTAAAATTATAACTATTTATGCTGAATTGTTTCAGCTGCTTGTTGTATTAGCACAAAATAGTCTTCTTCTGAAGAATGAAATATGAAATTTTGATACACTGCCCTACTGCAAAATTCAATATTATACTGCAGTATTCTATGACATAATTCTTAAGTAATTCCAAGAAAAATCCAGTATTGGCATAACAATATTTTTTTCAAATCCATGTCAAATTACTCTTCTAATTTACAACTATTTTATAACATACATTGCTATGTACTCAAAATAGTGCTTAGTATTTACTTTTAAATAACATTCCACTAAATAATGAATTTGATCTTATTGAGGGGCTAGAAAAAAGAATGCCCCACACTTACTATTATCTTGATAAATGTTTATACAGATAAGCTTTTTGCTTTTAAAATATTTGTGATGGTAAAATGATGTTGATTAATGTTGCAATCGTACAACAATTGAATGAGGTGTTCTATGCCTTTCGGTTATATTATTGTTTTTGTATAATGTTTTTTTTTGTTTTGATAATTTGAGATTGGGCCTAAAAAAGAAAGAAAGAAACATATATTTGGGAATACTCTTCTCAGGACTGTGTCCCTATTTAGAATTGATAACAACTTAATTTAATGAGCATTTCAAGTTAATCACTATTCTTTCTTCATATAGAATAAATAATATTATTTTGCTGTACGGCATGGCAGTTTAGTAATTATCTTTTTGGCTTTTCATTTAGTTTCCGTTGTATGAAAGACTCACCTCATACTCCTTATTTGTCGAAAGATGGTTTATAAGAGTTTTAGGATCCCTCATGGTTTCAATTGTTTTCATTACATCATCTCTTTGCATGAGTCTCAATACTGGCTCTACTGCATCTTGAAGTTCCTGTAGTTCCGAAAGAACTACACCTCTCCGCTGTATAATTTCCTAGAATCACTTTTAGGTTTAATTAAGTCATTATACTAATTGTATATGCAATTTCGGAAAGGTCACATGTCGCATATTTTGTCAAATACGTTTTTTCATATACATGTAGTTTTGAGGCTTACCTACACCCATTTTATAATAATTCCAGTAATTTTCAATTGCTAATGAACACTAAAACATATCTCAAAAGTTAATATTTTAAATTTTACACTGCTTTAGAAAATAATCAGTTTTTTTCATCTCCTGAACATTTTACATTTTCAGAGATGTGCCCTTTTCGAAATTGCATATTCAATTATTCTTGTTATAATTATGTATTTAAACACATATACATATACATACATAGTCAGATGTCAGCACCTCTAATAATTTGTGTTAAACATCATTCCGTAAATAAAGTTAATTTAGGACAAATAATATATTTATTAAAGATAAATTCTTACTTCAGGAGTGTCTTCTTCAGGATAGAGCATTCTTCTGATGTCAATAACATAATCTATCATGTTAGTTTTGCTCAAAATCTCCAACTTTGCCTGCAGGAGCTCTGACTGGTCATATGTCTGAAAGTATTTGGTTTTAAGCCTTTCAGTTGCTTTTTAGAATGAAACGGACAACACTTTGTAAAACTTGACTTCATAACCTACCTCCTTTGCTGCTAAGAATTCTAGTAAAGGAAACACGAGATGCCGATCAAGATACTGTCCTATTTTAAACGTTAAATCAAATTTTGAGTAACTCATGTTGATAGTTTATTTTCATGAATTCTTATGAAAATGGAAACACATGTAGTAGGTAGAAACCAACAACCTGTAATCTACAAATAGTATGTAGTAAAAGGAAAGCACTTTAGGCTACGTCCACAGTAAATATACTGAGNGTAAAGGAAACACGAGATGCCGATCAAGATACTGTCCTATTTTAAACGTTAAATCAAATTTTGAGTAACTCATGTTGATAGTTTATTTTCATGAATTCTTATGAAAATGGAAACACATGTAGTAGGTAGAAACCAACAACCTGTAATCTACAAATAGTATGTAGTAAAAGGAAAGCACTTTAGGCTACGTCCACAGTAAATATACTGAGCACAGAGTAAGCCAAAGTCAATAGTAGACAAATATTTAAAATGTTATCTATGAAGTAGTATGATATTTTGTTTATAGAGGGACTTTTTGGCGGGAACGCGAGGAGTGAAGTTGTGTGATTTGTTTTATTTTGTCTACTTAGTGTTTCTTCAGGTTTAAATGTGTAGTAACGGTGGTTTATTAACTGTTTAATATCTGTGAAAGTGCACAAATGTGGGAAAATGAAACAAAGCCAATGAACGTAACTTCTCGGGATCCTCCAAAAAGTCCACTGAAAAAATCTCAGAAAATCACCACCATTTTACTGAGATTATATTTCATCCCATATCATATCAATTCATTTGATTTCATCCCAGTTGATTAATGTCTCAAATTAATCATCATTTCATTTCATCATTTTTCATAAAAATATGAATATAAATTAAAACAAGACATTACATATTTACATAAAAGTCTTAGTTACCAGGTCATGCAATCCCTTAAAAAAATAACTTAAGCAACGGGACACGTACCGTACAATGGGGTAAATAGGGACAAAATCGACCTTCAGATTGAATTTTAAAATAGTTCCAATTAAATAGTCACTGCTCAACCAAAGAAATAAGTTGAGTCTTGAACGTACCTAGGTGATAAAAATCGTTACATAATTTTAATTATTCATTTTAAAGAAATAATCGGTAAAATAATGGCCGTCCCAATTTACCCAGCGTCCGGGGTAAATTGACACGGTTAAGGGTTAAATTGGGATATTTGTAAGGGTTGTCAACTCGCAGTACTGCGATATATAGGTAGGTGCCATATAATTATTTATATGGACCGAAATGATGAATACAATCCATAATTTAAGCACAATACACAACATAGTGTAAATTAAGCTGGTTTCTATTCCGAAGCGATGTGACGTGAATGATAATCAACAATACAATGATCAAAAAAAGTATGTGCATGTTATATTTTAGAAAATTATTATTTAATTTCCTTAAAAATCACAACTCTGAAACAAAATGATAAAATAGAATAAAAAATAGAAAACAAAAGGACTGGAAATGCAATAATACAATTTTATTTAATCAACATTTTCAAAATAATCTTTGAGCAAGAGTAAGATATCAGGTGAATAAGATAAAAAAACAGCTTTATCTGATTACTGCCAATAATAACAAAAATAAAAGAAATTCTTTCTAAGCTAAATAACTAAACTCAATTAATTCACTCACTCATAATTGGATATCTCGGATTTTTAATTAATGTTACATTTAAAATCTGAGGCCTGTTTTTATTTGTGTGTGCGTTTTGAATGTTAACAAAATCATGATTCGACGCGTGAATAGATTCTGAAATAACAAAAGTTTTGATTCGTTTGAGTTCTTTTAACTTTTAATTTTTTTTATTGCTATAAAGAACATACGACCGGGCAGATATTACAAGGTAAATGTCGCGAAAAAAAAGTAATTATATATATACTTTTCTTTTACCTATAATACTTACATAAACTAACTGATAAACACATTAACCTTCTTTACATCACGCAATTAAGTGATAGTATAGGCTAAAAAATCTATTATAAGATATCAGTGACAACCCTAACAAGCCATCCCTATTTTGTCTTTTGGCGTTCCAATTTTGTGTTTTCTCGTCCCTAATTTTTCCAGTCTCGTTCCAAATTACCCTACATACGTCCCAATTTTCCCCAAAAAGAAAGGAAAAAATATACATTTTTTATTTTGTCGAAATATTGTATTTAAAATAAGAATATTGCAACTTACCGTTTGTTGTGGTATTTCCAGGTGTATTAAAAACTTATATAAACTGTGATCTTATTGAAAAAACAACGATAATATTACTTTTTTTAAAAGTTCTTTAAACTGTTTTAAAAGGCACTTTTCAACCACTATTTTCAATTTAATTTGACGAATTTTTGGGACCAACTTAACTCATATTTAGTACTTCCACTTAAACAAAATTAGGTAGATTCCGGGCTACAGGTACTTTGAGAATCTTCCGCAGGTTTGTCCCAATTTACCCCAGGATCCCAATTTACCCCATGTCATGGTAGTGTTGTAACATGGTTGTAATGCCGACCACTTCGTACAATGTACGAATATTTGCGCGCATGTGATGGGCCGTCAAACATTCATTCGCAAACTTAGCGGCTGTGCAAATGGGTTCGGTACTCAAGTTGCGAACCCGTATGCGCTTCCTCCTACACTTGTTTACGAATGTTTCACGAATTTCTCCTCCTTTTTAATTCGTCAGTAAAACATTGAAGAGAAAAAGAGTTTTGAATTCATTCCCAGACATCATTAATAGCCATGCTGTTTTTATGGCATTTCTTTTGATGAAGATACGCTAAACAGTAGACGTCACGATCTATGAAAAAAGCGAAACCTCCGTTGCCTTCGCAATCCTGGGCGCAACTGGTCACATGAATGTGTGGGAGACTACGCAAAGGATAGCGGTTCGCGCGCTTTGATATCTGTTAAAAAACCGACATAGCTTGGAAAACCACGAATGCAGCGAAAACTTTGCATAATCATTTGCAAATGTCGGCCTACACTTGCGGGTTTGCGTATTCGTGCGAATGTGGGCGACCGGTGTAACATGCGAAGACATTGCTTCCTTATTTTAATATGGCCGTCTGGCCTTATGTCTACTATAGACACAAAATAAATGAAATTTAGTTTTGAAGTCATCGTGGCCTAAAGGATAAGACGTCTGGTGCAATCGTATCAAGCGATGCACAGGTCTGCCAATCCCGCAGGCAGATAACATTTTTTTTAATTAAATATGTACTTGACAATTGTTCACGATTGACCTCCACGGTAAAGGAATAAATTCTTCTAATAAAAATCAAACCCACAAAATTATAATTTGCGTAATTACTGATGGTAGGACGTCTTGTCCTACCACCGTCGGTTGTCGGTTGTAGGAAGCAGTAATGTGTTTCGGTTTGAAGGGTGGGGCAACCGTTGCACTGTAAAAACGTGGTAAAAACTGAGGGCTAAGAACTGATGTCTCGAGGTGGGCGATGGCATTTACTTTGTAGTTGTCTATGGGCTCCGTACCCAACCACTTAACACCAGGTGGGCCGTGATGTCGTCCACCCATCAAAGCAATAAAAAAGTGTGTGTGTGTGTGTGTGTGTGAGTGTGTAGTATTTTTTAACACAAGGTTATCTTAATTTTTTGAAAATTAATTCGTTTTGAACATTGCCATTGTTCCAATTGCCGATTTACTACTATAAAATGATCAGGCGTTTGAAAAAAAAAGTTATTAAATTCCATGCTATGGTTATGTTTATTTTGTGTTGAAAAATGCACCAGAATAAAGCAGTTTTCCTTTTTTTTTTTACTCTCCTACTCTAGTAACTGTTGGCATTATATTTGATTTATACTACTCGCAATGGTGATGCCACACAAATTGATCGCTTTTTGACGGACACTTCCATACACAGTGTGCTCCGTAGTGTCCCACCATACCCGATCTTATGGACCGAATGGTAAACAGTCGACGTCGCCCTAAACACGTCATTACGGATCCTCCCGATCCATTAACGGCGCGTTTTAGGTACCTACCTCAAACACCGGTCACCGTCCTCGCCATCTCTTGCGACCAAGGGCTCGACGAATAAATTAACAAATAGACACAGCCCATTGATTTTCTCGCCGGATTTTCTTGGTGGGTCGCGTTTCCGATCCGGTGGTAGTTTCTGCGAAGCACTGCTCTTGCTAGGGCCAGTGTTAGCAACACTCCGGTTTGTGCCCCGTGAGCTCATCTACATGTCAAGGCGAAACTGATATAGCCACTGAAGGCTATCAGCATAGGCAGGAAAAAAATGTCCTACTCTTCCTAGTTATAAGTTTAATGTGATGAGAAATGATTTTTTTTCTAAAATCCTTTACAGCAACGTACAAGTTTTAGATACAACAAAAGCTGTATGAGCCGCAATGTTTTTAATTTTTCTTTTTTTTTCCTACCTAAGCTGATGGTCTAGAGACCGCGTTACTAAATATTGTAGAGCAAGATCCCAGATCCACAGGACGTTACTTATTTTCTAAGTAATAAAAAGTGTCGGGTAAAGCAGCACCAGTATATAATTTGACGGAACATCTGTATATACTTTACAAAATTAAAGTGGTTTTCTTATAACTGTTAAAATTAGAATTAAAAATTTCTACAAAATAAAAGTAGTAAAGTTTTGATGAAAATTGAATATATTTTATTTATTTAATTAGTTACTTTATTTTGTGATAGCGTAACGATTATTTGAGATAATTGTAATGTTATCTAAATAAAATACGCTTAAAAAGTAAAAACTCTTTTTAAGCTGCGAGTCCCTTTGCCTGTCCAATAGCGAATTTCACAATGACAGAGAGTGTCAAATCGCGTGCCTCCATGTTTAATTTTTGTGTGGCTCCGAATTTTCTGTATTTTAATACTTATATTAAATGCATATATAAAGTTTAAATTTAATTTAAAGGTGTTCACTCGTTTTTAATAAATTGGGGAAAAACGTACTTTCTATCGCATTCAACTTTGCAGGAAATTACATTGATCCCGTCTGTCTTTAGTTTACCCGCCTTGTGCTTGGTTTATGAAGTGTGGGAGTTGTTCAAAATGGCGCCAGAAGCGTAACATAGAATGCGTCATTTTTGGACGCTGTGCATTCAGAAGCAAATGGCTATAAATAGACGAATTGCATGTGAATGGTGTTAATTTTTACAATGAAAAATGTCTAATACAGTAATCACCAACTACACTGACCTTAATGGGCCGTCCACGAAGGCGGAAAGTTCTGTTGTTGTTATTGTAAACAAGGATGGCTCCTTGTCGGTCGACCAAAACCTACTTGGAACATTAATGGGTAATTATTATAAATATAAATATCACCCGGTATGTAGGTATTATAGAAGTTTAATTTTAATCGTAATATAAAGAAAAAATCTTTAGGTTGCCATTAAATAAATTTCACCTATCAATCCAAAGCTTTTAAGTTCGCAAGTATACATGTTGAATTTATTGTAAAAGTACACGGAAATACGCTTTTGTTTTGAATAGGCATTACATAATTTGCATAGGTAGGACTTTAGATGCTCGGATAGTTCAGGAGGATCACAGGAAAATATTCAAAGCTTCTATTTAATTTGTAGTTGATATCAAGCAAAAACAGTTTTTTTTCATTAAATTACATATACACTGTAATGAAACGTTAATATGACCTCAAATGCAGGGCTTAGATGTAGCCTAGTCATATAGAATGCTACTTAAATAATGCATACCTAATTTTGCCGCCATAATAGCTGTTGGGGCAAAAGAAAATTCCTGCATAAAAACGTTTTATTGGGTTAAGTCAGTATGAATGGTGTAGCATTATTAGCAGTCTTAATAATATGGATCTAACAATTAGACCAGTCTCACAGTGATTTACCTCAATTTCTAAGCTTAATTGTGAGTAGATTTTCACAGTAGTGCTCTTATGTTAGTTTACATATTTTGTTCAATGCCTATAGCACTGTCTTGCTATTAGGGGCTATGCCTAGTTTTATTGTTGCTGATGCTGGATCTAGAATTCTTATCCATTATTGGTTTATAAACGTGTATATATCCCAGTGCCCAATATTGATGTTTCTAAGTATCTCGGTAGTCCTGCTGTCACTTTGTATGATTCTTGTTAAGTGTATTCTATATTTCTATTACTGTAATGTATTCTATATTTTTAAATACAAATTGTTCTTCATCTTTATGAATCCTTTCATTATATATAGCATTTTTCACTTGGCTATTTCAGGGTTACATGTCCTGTTTATTTGTAACAAATTAAACTAGCTAATCCTGCAAATATGTAAAATGCACGATATTTTAAAGTATATTGTACATTTAAGTAATGAACTAATTAAATCTATCCTGAAGTCTTTCAAATTTGTAGGTACAGATGGCACTCAGGGTGCAATAAGTGTAGTTCGAGTTGGGCATGAGGGTAAACCAGATGATGCTACGGATTCTGAAAATGAAGATGAGAAACTGCAACATGTCACACTTTCTGTGGATAGTTATTATGGTGAACCTAACAGTATCATCAAATATGGTAAAACTATAAATGTAATTTGAATAATAAAAATTTGTTTCTGTTTTTGGTTCCATCTTATATTTTCTGAAATAGATAAAATATTAAAATATATGTGTCTTTTTCAGACAGTGGTGCTGAAATGTTACAGTCGTTAAGGATTGAAACGAGGGAAAATAGTTTGATTGGGTTTCAAAATGATCACTGCTATACTTCATTGACTTCACCCAGTCAAGAAATAGGTACACATGAGAAGTCAAATAAGAGTGATACTTTAACCTCATACACAGATGGCGTAATAGAAATTACACAGTCATCACCAGTGCCTATCTCATCGCCTAAATCTGTTCCTAGTTCTAAAAAGATAACTATTTTGGAACAACAGATAATTCCAAAGGGTAAAAAAATATTAATTAAACCAACTGAATCACCAATTATATTAAAAGGAAATGATGTGCTAACTAAAACTCTGCCAGTTATTCCTAAATCAAAACATGTAAAACCGTCTGAGAAAATAGAGACCATTCAAAAACAAGACGAAAGTCCTGACACATCTTCAGTAAGTTCATCAGGTGAGAGTATCCCTGATAGAGACTCAGATTCTGATTATAAGGATACCAAAGACAAAAGTTGTACTTCTTTTAAAGTAAAAAAGGGAAAAGTAAAACCTCGAATTTTAAAATGCCCTGTTTCTAAGGCAAATAAAGCAGAAATAAAAGGTACACCCAAATTAAAATATGGTAAAAATGCCCTTAAAAAGGAGATTAAAGATAAGGCAATTTCATTAAAAATTATGTCAGAACAGAAAGAGGACGAATTCAATATGGAGACTTTAATGCCAACAAGTAAAGTAAACGAAATACCTCCAATGAAAGATATAAGTAGAGTAGTAGTTAAACAAATACCAAAACCTTCTAAAAAAGAGAAGAAAACACCAGCTCATGTTACAGCTCTGTTAACAGATATGTCTTCATTATTTTCTACTCCTGATGTCATACGAAGGGTGTCTACGGACAACAAAGGACCACCTAAAGATTTGGTTGGCCCTGAGAATAAAAAAATCACAGGAATTGTTAAATTAGATGTGGACAATAAAGTGGCTGAAAATCCAAAGTCTGTTGAAGAGACAGATGAAAAATCGAAAACAATTCTTACTATTCATAAACCTCTGATTAAGCAAAAAGAGAAGGGTTTAAACTCTACAGATAAGACAACAAAATCATACGAATCTATCCCACAACTTGATGAAGTTAGTTTGGCACAAATATTGCAAGACAATACTGCCCCTAGTGTAGCAAAAAGTCAACAAGCAATTACCACTTCAACTACCATGAGCAGTCCAGGATTGGTTGGTCCTTTATCACCAACTTTAGATTTGCTTGGCAGTCTCAGTGCGATACAGCCTGAAGAAGAAGGTTTAACTGAAGATTTACTAATGCATGTTGCGCAACTTGTTGAGAGTTCAGAAAATTTACAAGAAGTTATTGACAAGCAAGTTTTGGGTAAAGTTGATTCCGTCCCTGCAAAACCTCCAGTGCATTCATTATTCCAACAGACACAAGCAGAGCCGAATCTGTATACACAAACACTTTCTAAAACAGTCCAAAAGAACATCACTGCACCACGTAAGGATCCAATAGAAATAGTACGACGTGATGGTCGGGTAATTACTTTACCTCCAATAGAAGCTCCTGCTACCAGATCATCTAAGCGCAAAAGTCAACTGGAAGTTACAAATGTTGAATCACCAACTGTTACAACTCCATTGATATCACCTACTCCTGAACCACAGGTACTACCTGTGCCCAAACAGTATGTAAATAAAAAACCTAACCCCAAAAAGATCGAACCTTTGCCTCAAGCAAATTTAATTGATAAAATTTGTGCTGAATCACAAGAAAGTTGGAATTCAGAAGATGACCCCAATAGGTAATTATCCACTTATTTGATTTTGTACTAGTTGTGGCTTTAATTATAAGAGACCTGATGTACTTCTATTGAGTAATGCAATTATACAGGTGCTTCATTGCCAGGCTCATACCGTTTCTTTTCTAAATATGCATTAATTTTTTTATGGATTTATGTATTTATTATGATTTTGAAAACATAGATTTGAACTTTAATTTGAAGAAACTATCAATTCTGGATTGCTTCATTTCTTTTTCCATCGGTTTAATACCAGAGTATCTATTTATTATTGTTGAATTATATTAATGTTTCTATTGATAAAGCTGATGGTTAAAAGATCGTAACTCGCACGACATGGAATAAACCCTACAACGTTAATCAAAAGAATTAACTATGTAGCTGGAGGATTATGTTGGGTGTGTTTGAAACTTTCGGGAACAACAGCAACTAAGAAAGCAGTGCCGGTGATAACTAATATGAAATAGAGAAATCACATTCGAATACTGCCGATACTAAAGTATTATACAATGCATCAGTAAAAATAATATTTATTTGCTTAATTTACATTCTAGTTCACAAAAATTAAGCCTTACAAAATACAAGTACAGTACAGTAATCCCCCTTGAACATGATACTCTTATAACGCATTTTCATATTACGCCACTTCAGTCCCTGGTATAAGAAGAGAGTGCCCCCCTAAACTGCGGAGATGTCACACATTGTACTATTTCTGTACAGTGAAATTTATGATTTGTAGAATTCATATCTAATTTTGAGTACTTTGCACATTGTGTCAATTTTGTTATTACGAAATTAATTTATTAAATTAGCGTTCCTAGTTTTTGAAGTGAATAAACATTGGTTATCTTATTTTATATAAGTACTAGCTGACCCGGCAGACTTCGCCTCAATCGATAAATAAAAGACCTAAACTTTTATATAGAATAAACTTAAAACAAACAAAAGGAATCCGTCCGACGGGGGACACGTCAAAGGGAAAACAAAATTGTTATTTTTATTTAATTCCGAGAATTTTCATATTTTTATACCTTTTAAACCTTCTCTGGACTTCCGCAAATAATTCAAGACCAAAATTAGCCAAATCGGTCAAGCCGTTTTCATGTTATGTCGTGACAACGGAAAACGGGTTTCATTTTTATATATATAAGTATATAACGCGTTATACAGGGTCATACAAGCGCGTTATGCGTGAATAATCCTACAACGTGTTTCCTGTAATGCAGAATCAATATACTGTATTTTAAGGGAGATTACTGTATTTATATTTTATAACAGCAAATAAATGTTATTTTCTGTTCACATTGAGATTTTAGTTTATTATCGTTTCAGCCATAAGAATGGTCCACACCCTATATAATTCATATTGCAGTTAATAGTCATTAAACACAAATGAAAAAAAAATATTTTTTTTAGATTATGGTGCATTTGCAAACAGCCTCACAATAACCGTTTCATGATTTGTTGTGATAGTTGTGAGGATTGGTTTCATGGGAAGTGTGTAAATATAACCAAAACTATGGGTCAGCAAATGGAGGAACAGGGTATAGAATGGAGGTGTCCAAACTGTATCAAAAAAGTTAAAACTACACCAAAAAGTACATCCAAGGTAGGAAAACAAACTGAGTTAATAGTAAACTGAATAGAATTGAAGTTAGTTTTTAGTAATATATTTAAAAACCAAAACCTTTAAATAGAATTGCAAATTTACATTTAATTAAATTAATTATGTACTCATGAAGAAATTGTCACTTTGTCATTGAATTAGAAATGAAATTCAAAGAAATTGACAGTGGTATTGCATTTGATTTTATCTAAAATTTTGATGTCTGTAGCCATCACTGACTCAGAAGAAACATGAAGTGGAATCGTTATCACCTGAGACGCCTCCGTCCGAGAGAAAAAAGGAAAATGCTGGAAAAACAACCTGTATAGTTTGCAAGAAACATGCGCGCGCCAGCAGTATCTACTGTAGTGATGCATGTATTCTCAAACACGCACAGGACTCTCTTGTTAACCCGACCAATCAGAGCAAAACTGAAGAAGAAACTGGTAAATCGCAAGAGAAACAAAATCCTGAATCAAGGGTAAGTAATAAATTTTTAAATAAGGTAAAATAAAAAAAGAATGCTTCATAGTTATAGAAAACATTTGTCCACCGTAAGGTGGAAGTTTTAGTTGTATTTTCATAAGAGCATAACTGTCATACTCTTGAAATGGTAATGAGAGAACTCCTTGCAGCAGAGAAACAATAATATAGGGTTAACTAGCCTAATGCCACACACAATACATTTATAAATATATGTATAAATTTAATATATAAATTATAGAATATTATTATAAAAAATTATAATAATATATGCAAAACTTTTTTTTCTTTTGTTATATAATGTCTTTCGTTCATGATAGTTATTCCTGAATATGTGTGTTACGTACGTATTGAACGGACAATTTTAACGGCCGTGTTCGGTATGGTCGCATCATTCCATATGTGTATTGGCGACTTAGTGAATAGATTACGAACTTAGAGTTATTTAAACATACAAGTAGCAATGTAGACAATGGTGATTGGAGAGGAGAGAAAAACGGGCACTAGCAACTAACTGTCTGCATAATATGCATGAACTTTTTTAATTTTTGTGGATGTATTTTGATGTAAAAATAAATAATATTGATTATCAATTACTTTCAAGATGTTCAAGTAGATTTAAAGCTTCCGCGTAAATCACGTTAAATAGCTAAGTTTTCTCATTTTCATATTTTGATTTTATGGTTTTTTTAAATCTATTTTTCACCTCACTCTTACCACATTAGTTTCCTTCTAGGTTATTGTATATGAAAGGAAATCGGGACGCTTATTGGCTGGGCCAAATGCTCCAACTGCCGAAAATTTAAAAGCTTGGATACAAAAGAATCCTACATTTGAAGTTGTCAGACCTGGTGCTCTAAATACTATTAGACCAAATATAAGCAAAAAAAAGACTTCGATAGAATCAAATAAAATCCAAACCACACTGAACTTCGAAAGGTTACCAAGAAAAAGTATAGAGCCAACAGTTCCAACTAAATCACAGACAAGTGAGGTGAAGGACAGACTAAAGCCTTTACTATCACCAAAAGAAGAACCGAAACAGGTTCCTCAACCTAAAACGCCAGTGACACCAAAAAGTCTTCAAAGTCAAAACTTTGACTCTCCTAAAGCTAGCGGGTCAGGCATACGAAACTCCAGTGATAAAAGGAAGAGTTCTAGAAATTCTTTAAACAAATCACAATCCATTCCTGAAAAGGTAAGTTAATTAATTTTTTTAAAATAATTTTTACAATAAAATTTTTACTAAATAAAATATCAACTAAAAACCAGAAAGATGGTGGTAGCACATTGCATTGGACTATTTCACAAAATACATTAATCAAGGTAATTAGTAATTTTTCCTGTGTCACTAAAAGATGTAGAAGGAATTTGAAAAATAACAACTTATTTAAAACAAAGATTTTGGTTTATAATAAATTATGTCATATGTCTATACATGGGTTAATAGTGTGTCATCACTTATCAAATCATACCATAATATAATCAAAACGTGCTATGGGTCTATTTAACATTCGGATCATAAATAAAGGTCGTAAAGCAAACGGAAAATTACTTCATCAAATAGACGGTCCTGTAAAGTTGCAGAGCTCAGTCTTCCGGAAGACGACGGCGTGTGTCGGTGATGTAACATACTAATAAAGTATCATCAATATAAACAATTTTGCGGTCACACATTGTATTTCTGAATATTTGTGTGTTTTTGTGGGAACGAAGTGGAAAATCGTTTTAAATTACGAAACTTATTTAAAAAGGTCTATAAGTATATTTTTTATTAATAAAATGTATATGACTCATAGGCAAAACAATCGACACATTGTCGAAATTTGTTCGCCTAAAATTAATAGCATTAACCTTGTACGTGTTTGCATAGTGATTATAAGTTGAGAATGGCATATTTATGGTAATTACAGGCCGCTTCAGTTACTCCGTCGACGTCTCGTAAAAAAGAGTCGCATGAAAACAAAAGCAAAATGAATTCACTGGAATCAATACGTGAAAACGTTAGAAAATCATTGCAAGAACAGATGAGCCTACGCATGGCAGAAAACAAAGAATCCAACTTTACAGAAGATGAAATAGAACAATTTGCGCTCGAAACGGAAGAAGAATTGCACGATCTATTCCGAGACGTTGGTATGAAATATAAAGCTAAATACAGATCGCTCATGTTTAATATTAAAGACCGCAAGAACCTGACTCTGTGGGAAAAGATTTGCGATAAAACATTAACACCAAAGCAGTTGGTATGTATTGCATTTTTCTGTATTTAAAAATACATAACTAAAGTAAGTAAATTTTTTAATCGTTCAAAACGTTATAGGTACGACTGTCTCCAGAAGAACTTGCAAGTCAAGAATTAGCTGAATGGAGAGATCAAGAAGCGAAACATCAATTGGAGTTGATTAAGAAATCGGAGTTAGATCTTTTGGCCGCCAATAAAACTTACGTTCTCAAAACACACAAAGGCGAAGAGGTGAGTACACTAAGTCTAAAAAAGATTATGACTGTGCATATTGACACTGATATTAAAAATGAATTTCACAATGGACAGTAATTAAATATTCTCATAATGAATATTTTTTTCTAAAACAGGTAATGGAAACTAAGGAATCTGTATCAACAGAACTAGACCCTAATGTGCCAGTTGAAGATGTGGTCAGTGTACTAAATGATGCTATCAATGAAGACTCCCAAGAAAAAGAGAAAACACCAGATATGTTAGTATAATAATAAAAAGATATCATATTCTGTCGAGTTTTATTACCACTACAAGTTCACCTTATATTTTTAATGACTTGGTTTATTTCGTAGGTTACGTAAGGGTTCAAATAAAAAATCTAATAGCCGTAAAAGAGAGCGCGAAGAAAGTTATTATCAGACTAAAAAGGTTAGACGAGATTCTGAAAAGAAATCTAGATCTTCTAGGCGAAGAAAGTCTGCATGCTATGAAAAAGAATCTAAATTAAGCCAGAAGAGGCCTTCACGAAGATCGGACAGAAAATCGAGATCCATTTCAAACGATAGATCAAGATCAGGTAAGGAGAAATCTGATATAAGAGAAAGATCTCTATATCGATCAAAGTCTAAAGAGAAATCAAGACGGCGATCAAAATCCAAGTCACGCGTACGGTCCAGATCTAAATCTATGGATAAGTCACGCGAGCGCGACCGATCTGGGCGCCGGTCGCGATCTAGAAGTATTTCGAAAAGGCATAGCTCACGATCTAAGCGACTACCTAGTACTGAAGACAAACAACAGCCTCGTTCCCGGTCTCAAGACAACGTTATGATGAAGAATAAGCATGAGTAAGTGAAAAGACTTTGTAATATTAAGTTCGGTTGATGATTAATGTCGTTTATACTAATGAGGTAAATATTAGTTCCACAGACTCAGAATCTTTGGAAAGGCCAAAATCAGCCATGCTCAAAGAGGTTCATCCTGAGTATGATCCTCATGAGCCTATGATAACATCGGCGTTCTCTGACGAAGATCTGATAAAATCCAGAGAAGACGTATTTGAAGAAAGTTACAAAAACAAAACTGATAATGGGGTGGGATATGATTCCAGTGAACCAATATCAACTAATGTTGAATTAATTAAGTCTAATACATATCAAAGTCTGGAAAAGACGTCAGGTAGCTAAATACTTTTATAATGTATAATATCAGTAAAATATCAATACTGTTTATTGTCTAAAAATTAAACCAAAATTACTGTAAATTTATTTTTTTATAAACAGAAGGTGACAGTGATCAAGAACCAAGCAGTACTGTTGATACTATACCCGTCGCAACAGTTTGGAATGGATGTATAAACATGGTAGATGTTGCAAGATTCTATGTTTCAGCACATGAGGTTCGACCTTTATAAAATTAAAACAGATTGTTGTTGTTTTGGACGTTATTGAAATATTATTATTTTGTATTTAGGTCTCTGGCACTGCAGTCGACCTGGAAGAAGATCTGCCCACAGAACTTGATATTGTAGGAAGAATTAATCCAGATACAGTCTGGGAATATATTGGAAAGATGAAGAAAGCTAGTAATAAAGATATAATTATTTTAAGACTTCAAGCTGCTAATGATGAGGAAAAAATGCCATACATCGCATTGTTTAGTTACTTAAGTAGTCGAAATAGGTTTGTATTTTTCACATAGATAACTGCGAAAGAAATAAATAAAAACTAATTTGTTATATCTTAATACTTCCTTCTATCGAAATTTAGGTTAGGCGTGGTAAAAGTATCAAATACGACAACAGTGAAAGATTTCTACGTGGTTCCGCTGCCGGCGAATACCACACTTCCACCAGTGTTGATGCCTCTGGATGGCCCCGGAATCAGCGAGGTTAAAACTCATCAGCTACTCACCATCGTTATAAGGCAAAGAAAGAAACGTCTAGCATCTCACATTCCTAAAGAAGTAATTCCAGCTAAGGTCAGTTTGTTATACGAAAGAAATATAATAAAATAAATAATGTGGTTGTTCAATTTATTACACACTACCCTCACAATACGCCTTTAAAATAATAATATAATAATTTCGTCTAAAAAACATTATTTCATCAATAAATAGTTCATTATTTTGTGGTTTTATTTTTTGGCAATTCCGAATATGTTAATAGAATATTAGTAAGAATTTAGAAACCTTTCTCAAAATATCAATTCCTTGTTTCTGCCAACGTTTGCTCGTATAATAAACATCATATTGTTTTGTTTTGAAATTTTAAAGTCTTTTGTTGCGAACCGTACGTGAGATTAGTAGAGATCGCAAAGTAGCGTAGACAAGTTCATCTTAAGCAAGTGCGAATACAAAACTATACCGGTGAGCTGTTTAATAAATACAAAGCTTGTTTGTTGCTTTTTAATAAAACAATATCTTTTGAAAAAGTAATTATAATTTAATATTGACACATTTACTATTCATACTTTAAAAATAGCTTAACTGAAAACTACACAGTTTTCTCTAAACATAACGTGACGTTCAAGTTGAATACGCTCTGTCTCGGGTTTTGCGTATACTGGCATAAGGGTCTTACGTTTGAAAAGTAATTTGGACGCAGTTTGCAGTGAAGATAACTTGCATCAGTGCAGGCAATAGCCTAGTCTTAACTTTTGTCGCTTACGTTAATATTATACAGTATTGATTTCATGAAATAATTTACTATACGCAAAAATAGGTTATTTTAAAGTGTTTAATGTACAGTCGTAAATTTGTATCGAAACCGTTTTTAGGGGACCTCGCAATACACGGCGTATTGGATATGTTCCCGAAGAACACAGGCGGTAGTGTCGGTGATTCTTAAGACAATAGCACTAATAAACAAAGCTTTGTGCTTTAGGCTCGAGTAACGGACTGATTCTACGGTACCGAATGAACGCAGGGGTGGTTTATGTTAGGTATATAGTGGTTTTACGAAGTATGACCATAACATTAACACGACATTTATGTTTATTACAAATGTATCCCATTTATTCTGGTCGTCGGAACTTCACTTTTATAAATAAGATTTATATTTAAAAGATTGCAAAAACTACTTTATTTAAGTAATGAAGAACGTGTTTTTTTTTGTATATGCTTTAGGTTGCGAGGGAGTCTCACAAACGTTCATATACGCCACCAGTGCAGAGCAAGATTACTCACACGCCACCGGCTTCGCCTCGGCGTCGTAATCCACTTCCACTACCATCATACAGCACATCTACGCTCTCTACTTCGGTTAAAGATAAAATTGCTGCATCTTTAGGTATTTGCGTCTGCTTTTCAGTATATAATCCATCAACGTAACAATTCAGTCACATTTCAAAACACGAAACCCTTATAATTTTCTCAAGTAACAGGTGTACTCTGAAGAAATGTGAATGCTCAGAGTTTGCAAAGAAAGTATTTTATTTATTAGTGGCGCACCGTCTTCTAATTATAACTATAGGTTGTAAAAAAAATTCGATATCAGTGTGTGGGTTATTATTGTTTTAAATAGGTTTAAAATTACTTTGCGGTGTGGATCTAGCATTTAAGCCAATGTTCGTAATATAAGTTAGATTTGAAAACGATAAAAAGATTGTAATATATTGAGTAATTCTACCACAGACTGAAACCGTCACTGTGCGTTTACAATTTCGATTTTTATTAGTTACTAACTGAGTAATTCATAGGAGCAGTTGACGACGATGATGAAGCATACAGCCCAGGTTCGTCAAGTAGCGGAAGCAGTGCTACTGCAACGGCATCTTCGAGTATCGCTTCTAGTACTTTACGTTCGAAAATGGAAGAACTCAATCGACAGATAGAAGAACAGAAACAACAAATTCGTAAAATAGCACAAGCCAGCTCTTCTCCAGGAGAGGTGAAATTTTTTAGCATAATAACAAAAACTTATTGATTTATTAATGAATTTTTACAATTCAACATAAAATCCAGTAAGCACTATTTGTGCATAAAAATTGAAATAAATTATGGCTTAGAATGGATTTTCTTTCAGGATGAAGCTTATTCGCCGTCTCGACCAATGACTCCACCTGCCGCATCTGTCGTTCCACTAGCAGACATAGCATTGCCTTCAAACCTGCATGAAATACTTGCAACAATAAAACAACGTTCAGAAACTACAACTGGAGATGTAGATATGCGTACATTACCCCTGAAGTAGCATATGAAATTCAGCACAACACGATAATAACACTTCAATAAAACAATAGCATTTTACTAGAATGGTACTATAAATGAGTATATTACTGCGTAATAATTTTTGTATTTGTTGACATTTAAAAATTATCAAAATTTTGCATGAATGCAATTTTTTTTGACTTTAAAAAAATGTATTTTTTAAAACATGGTATTTAGTTTAAGAAATATAATAAAATTATAATGCGAAATGCGGTTCACAGGCGCTGTAAACATTTTCATTATTGTGTGTGCAATAAAATTAAACTAGAAAACATGTGCACTTTAGCAACAATTTTTCAAACTTTTTGTATATAATTAAGTGACTATAAAATGTATGAATTACTTAGTTGTACAAAATTAGATCCCATACCTTTAATGTACATACATTTACTATTTTCTTGTTGAATTAAATAGTAAGAATTTTGATAATATGAAATAAAAATGTGTTTTTAAATACATATTTTTTTATTCCAAATCATCATACAACGAGCGTCTTAGATTTGTTTTCTTTAGGTTTGGTAAAGAATTTACAGAGCTCAATTTAAAATTATTCTTTCTTAAATTTTTCAATACATCATTTTTCAATTGAGGGTTATTCTTTATCCTTTTTTGCATTGCTAAAATTTTGGTTTCCATTAATTTTCTTTTAGGAATGTGTCGTAGTGCATATTCCCAATCGCCTGTCAACTTCAGATCAAGTAATATTGGAATCATGTGATTAATGTTCAGGTTTTTCTTTGATCCAGGAGCCCATTCCAAATACCTGTCCAAAGGTAGCTTTGCCATTGTAATATTATCTTTCTTTGCTTTAGCTAGTGAAATTGGTTCATTATTTGTCTGAAACCATTAAAAGACATTACAAACCATTTTTTCATATAAGTACCGTTTAAAGTAAAGTTTCATATATTTTACCTTAATTAAAACAAATTTATGGTTTTAATCTCTGACTGATCTGACGGTGGTCATCAGAGACCACAAAAACTGTAAAACATTCTAAGTAAGACGTTTGACATAAATGCATGATTAAAACCATTAAATTAGTTTTAATTATCAATCATTTAGTTAATAAAATTACTATTTTACCTTATCAACCATGCAACCAATTATATAAATAGCATCAGGATCAAATCTGGTCAATTCATTGCGACAATGAGGAGTAAGGTAAACTAACTTTTCTCTTGGAAAAATATCTAAATAGCTTTCAGTATGAATATTCATTGGGAACCAAGGTTCTTCCATGCATGGAATATTTTTTTTAAGTTGTTTCAGGAATTCACTATCATTGTTTACATTACACAGGTGAATATTGAATGGTTCTTTATGAAGTCTGTTGTCTCCAAATACTAATGTCATTTGCTTTGCAGCATTTAAAGTTTCTCTCCAAACCATGTGTTCTTCATAAGAACAGTCAATGACCAGTGACTGACTGTGCATCATTGCTAAAAGAGCTCTAAAACAGAAAAATATTTACATGTCTTTTCCAAATATTCAATATTTTGTTTAAACCTGAATATATAAGTGCCATATATTTGAAACATACCTATAATTATCAAAGTTGTTTATTGATTGATCTCGAATTCGTAAAAATAGTGACTGATATCTAATACCATACAGGAGATCATCAGGATACTCTTTTTCTTGGTCTGGGACCCCATCAGCAAATTGTTTTCTTCTAGTTTCTTTTTTTATCTAGCAATCATTTTAAAGATAAGTATTATTTTTAGAGAAAAAATATTAATATGTCAAGTTACACAGTAGTCTTATTTTTTGATACGATTTCATACAGATATTGTTTTACCTTTTGATTTTCCCTAGATTTTTCATTTTTCCAAAGAAAGGTTAAATAATTTGTTCTTTGGTTTCTACTACTTAAATCTAGCAAATGTTTCCACTGAGTAGTATTCATTGAATTAGGGGCACATCTACCATCCTGCCGCATTACTTCAACTTCCAACATCAAAATCCTCAACTTTTTTTCGAGTTCTGCATTGCCTTTACAAATAGTATTAATTGATGTTTCTGTAAAATTATTGAGTTACTTAGGTTTGTGTATGTTATCTATCTCGATGTAGAATCAGATAAAACGACTAATTGGTTATCACCTAATTCATCCTCGCCTGCTGAGTAAAATCTTCGGTAGCTATTGAACATTAGTGGGTTAAAAGATGGTGTCATTCTTTTAGCACAATAGAATTTTGCTACTGAATGGGTAAAGGTTTTCTTTAAAAACGACGCGAAATACATAGCTCAATATTATGAGGTTATTGTTTATTTGTAATTTTACTAATGTGTATTAATACTACAACTGTGTAACCAAAATAATGTAGTTGTTACATTTATCATGAAAAAATTATGTACACCTTTGGCTTATTTAAGGTATTGCAAATAGATTTAAAGTACTTTAATAAACCTAAATAGTGTTAATTCTTGTATTTGTTTATGTAAATATTAAGTTTAATCCATGATTATCCATGGCCCATGGTATGTGATTTTAATTTAACGGCCTGGATTCGAGTCTTTTGAGCCAAAATAAACCATGCTTTACAAAGCCGTAACTAAGCTAGCTGGAATGTGAGAAGTGAAGTTGGCCAAAAAAAGGTGGCGAGAGGTGATGGTTAGGTTATTTTATTAGGTTATTAGGTTATATCTTATTAGATATAAAATAATTAATAATTGGGAATTTAATTGTTTTTATGATCGAACAATCACCAATAGTCATCGAACAAATGATAACTGATCAAAGTGAATTAATCTGAGCGATAAAAAATAAAGATATCTAGTAAGGGGAGCCCACTTAACGGTGATCATTTGTTTCATTAATTATATGTAAATAAAAGACGAACAAACAATTTTTACATTCGAACATTAACGAACAAATAATTAAAAATAAAAATAAAAAGGGGGCCAAATTTACAGAGCCGGAGTTAAGTTGTATAATTTGTTTTATTTTGTCTATTTAGTGTTTCTACAGGTTTAAATGTGTAATAGCGGTGGTTTATTAATTATTTAGTAACTGTGAAAGTGCACAAAGGTGGGAAAATAAAACAAAGCCGCTGGACGTAACTTCTTGGGATCCTGTTGGAGTTTGTATATTAAATGAAATGGCAGGCAACACTTGACACTTGATTAGATTTCGAATATTGGAATTATTTTAAATGTTTTAAAAAACAGATCATTGTATTCTCGTAAGAAAATGTCAGAACTTCTCATCTAGACACGGCATGAAAAACATGTAATAGTTTTATAAAAAATATAAAGATAATAATTGTATAATGGTGTAAAAGTGTTCAAGCAATCTGCAATATAATTATAATGAAGCAGTTGTTTTTAAATAGCCCCTCATCACCTACAAAACCCAATCCCCTCAAATTTAACCATCCAACAGATCCAACAAAAAATCCACTGAAAAAGTCTCAGTAAATGACCACTATTTTACTGAGATTATATTTCATCCCATATCATCTCATTTCATTTAATTTCATCTCAGTTGATTAATGTCTCAAATTAATCATCTTCATTTCATTTCACTGCATATTATCATTTTTCGAGAAAAGATGCGTAGTGGCGTAGGACACCGGATAGGAACGAAGTTACTTAATATAAAAATATTAATTTTAAGTTCTATTCGAGGTATAAAGAAAATCATTATGCGGGTATACATTCTTTATTATGATATTTTTATTGATAAAAAATAAAATAAAACTACTTTACAAAGTTATCAACTTTATTTTATTCTTTTTTTTAAGTGAAACTTCTTTAGGCGCATGAGGGTAAAATTTTAACAGATGTAACGTCACGCAGGTATGCATTATGCAACGGAAGTATCGAAAAAGAGAGAGAGAGCGATCGAGACCGATTGAGAGAGAATAAGACAGGGCAAACGTAGCATAACGCAACTAGCCATGGAGTGAGAATAGGGCGCAAGCAAGTGAAAAAGATCGAGAGAAAAAGTGAGACAGAGCGAACGTCGTATCACACACAGTGCCATGGAGCGAGGGGTGGGAGAGAGCTATAGTGAGAAAGATTGAACGAGAGAGAGAATAAGGGATATCGAGAAATAATACACGCTATATTGGTTTGTGTATTCGTTTACTAGTTAATTATTTTTAATACAGCGCCATCTATGAGATTTTTTAATACTAACGTGTGTATGAAACCTCTTGTAGGGAATTTCAATTTAGGATTATACGTGAAGTTAAAATATCAATTCACAGAGGGCGCTACCTCATACTATAAAAGACACTGAAGTAGGAAACCTATGGAAATGAAACGTCAACAAAAATTCGTGCCACTGTGACGTCATCTGGCCACAAAACATGGCGGTTTTAGTGCTGCCCAGAAGATTTTAATGTTAGTAGGTTTTATCGATAAACGTTCTCGGCTTATCTTATTTTAAATATTGTTGAGTATGAATGTATTTGTAGAATTTATACTTTAATAGGAATTAAGTATATTGTTATGTGCAAAGATAATGTGATTTAGATATTATGTGAAATCTAAGACGAGTTCGTGCTTCAAATTTTCCAAGTAAACGATATGACGATTTTTAAAATTTGCTACACTGATTTTATAAAGTTGTCGTTTGCCGTAAAACATAAAGATATGGCATAGTACAGTGCCATCAGTCCATTTCTAGCATGCTGAATGTTATCGTATTTTGAGTACGTGTTTTTCTTAGACTATTACAATCTATTTTAATTGTTTTGCTGACTCTAAAGTCCGTAACAGACTACCGCAGTGCACCTCAAGCAAGGTGCACCGCACCATTTGAATCACTCTCACTTGAGAGTGATTCAAATTTGAAACTTATCAAGGAACCGCCTGATAAAAAAAACACATACAGAACATGTATTCGTTAATGAAATTACAAACGTCATTCCTTGTGACTTCCTCTCTAAAATCACTTAATTAATAAATATTTAACGAATTTACAATAGTGTTTTACTCACTGCGGAATAAAACTATTTTATTTAAATAGTTCCGAAGAGATTTTGTCGGTAGCCTTTTTCCCGAAATATCTAAACAGAATGTCTAAATATGTTTTGATGACATANTTATCTACCGATCCTAGTGAATTCGATGTCCTGACACCGGGACATTTTTTAGTTGGTCGTCAATTGGTTTCGGCTCCAAGTTATGATATCTCTGATGTATCTACTAATAATTTAACGCGTTGGCAATGTATTAAACAAGCCACATTGCATTTTTGGCGTCGTTGGAAACTAGAATACTTGCATACATTGCAGCAACGTCAAAAGTGGTACGTTGATGCTCCTAATCTATCTATAAATGACCTGGTACTGATTCACAATGATAATGCCCCTTGTCAACAATGGAGCTTAGGACTTGTAGAACAGGTTCTTCCCGGACTTGATGGGAGGGTTCGCGTTGTTACGGTTCGGACGCAAAATTCGAAGCTAAAGCGCCCTGTCACAAAACTGAGTCCTCTCCCTAAAGAGTAGGATGAATAACTTATTATAAATCTATTTAATTCATTTCATTAATTTTATATTACAACTACATATCTATTTCATTTAAATTTATATATACAGTCCATTTCGCTCAAAGGCTAATCGTATTAGTTTTTTTTTATTTTATTTTTTATTTTATGATTATATGTTTCAAGCAAAATTACATAATTTGCAAAGCCCATTCATATGGGTTAACATTCTAGATATAATAACGTTATTTTGTGTTTACCTATTTTGAAATCATTGTTGATTTCGGTGGGGGGAAATGTTAGGAAACCGACTAAAATTTCCTTTTCCTAATCCACGCCATCTATCGGCATAATGAAGAAATGTAACGCGCCTCCTAGCGGGCGAAGAAAAGAACTACAGTCGACGCTTTCGAACCGCGCGCGCGCAAAATTAAAAAAGTCTTTTAATTCAAAAATACTGTTTTTCGCAAACTTTGCGATTCAACTTGTGCGTGTGTCCGTGTATTAAAAACTCCAGCATCCAGAACAGTGCCCCGGGGACAGAAGACCACAAAACATAGAAAGCAATCATTTGTGAGTACCTTCCCCTTTTTAGTCGGTTTAGTTTCTGGGAATTTAAATTTAACTCAACAAACTTGTTTACACAACACGGGTTTCAATTTTATTACACGATGTTATTCCTTCACCGTGGAAGTCAATCGTGAACATTTGTTGAGTACGTATTTCATTAGAAAAATTGGTACCCGCCTGAGATTCGAACACCGGCGCATCGCTCAACACGAATGCACCGGACGTCTTATCCCTTAGGCCACGACGACTTCTAAACTGTTAGATAGCCCATTTATTGAAAAGGGCTATAGGCTATATAACATCACGCTAAGGCCAATACAAACGGAGCACCAATAAAGAATGTTTCAAAATCGGGGTTTTTCCCTTTGGAGAGCTTCCGCTGCGTTTTTTTTTATGATTGAAGGATTACTGGTGGCCCGGAGGCCTTTCCAGTTTCACTAGGACAGGTGGGCGAGCAAAGGCTCAGCCAGGAGGGGTGGGATTTGCTAACAGCTACCCGAGCGCCTCCGAAGGAGACCTAACAGCTCAAGAGCAGCTGCTTCGCGAATGAATCTACTACCGGATCGGAATCACGACCCGCTGAGAAGATCCGGCGAGAAACTCAGCGGGCTGATGCATGGGTTAGGTTGCACGGCGAACTCTTTGTCGAGTTCGACGAGTACGGTTACCGGGGTCCCTAGTGTTAGCCTGCTCCTAGTGTTAGAGCTAAAGGCGTCTAATGCAAAGGTTATTGGATCTGATGGATCCGTAAGGACGTGTCTAGGGCGTCGACGGTGACTGGCTCCTGCGTGATCAAGATTCGGGGAGTAGTCAGCGGCGGCAACGATAAGGCGATTATCATGACGCATAGCCTTATCGAAGTACCGTTCCGACGCTGACTTCATGTATTTCTGGATAGATTCGAGGCCCAGGTCGTCGTGTAGGTCAACGTTCCTCACGAACCACGGAGCCCCGACAGCTAACCTGCAAAAGCGGGATTGTAGGGATTGGAGGGTGTCTATGTGTGTGCGGGCCGCGTGAGCGAACACCACACTCGCGTAAGTCATGACGGGCCTTATGCAAGNATGTGTGTGCGGGCCGCGTGAGCGAACACCACACTCGCGTAAGTCATGACGGGCCTTATGCAAGTTTTGTAAAGTGTCACCTTGTTCCGAAGGGACATTTTACTCCGCTTACAGATCATGGGGTAGAGTCTACCGAGAATAAACGCGGCACGGTCACGGACTGATTTTATATGCGGGCGGAATGTCATCGATGCATCCAGGGTAACGCTCAGGTACTTGACCTTCCTGGCTCAGGGTATGGGTTGTCTAAAGAGAGTAATCGGGGGTGTGAGATTTCTCCTCCTAATCCGGGAGGAAATCCGTGTGGAGCTTCCCCTCTGAAATAGCACCGCAGTACTTTTCCCTGGGTTGATGTCTATGCGCCATTTTCGGATCCACTATCCTAGGGCTAGGGCTGCGCTCTGAAGC